AATTACACTTATCATCTTCTATACAGTTACAAATGTCATTATTAAATTTGTCACATTAAATTATTATATTATTAATTGAAGTTATTATTATGTCATTGAAGTTTCATCAAATTATTTTGTTATGTTATTAATACTACATCGTTGAAGCATTATTAAATATTATTAAATATTATATTACATAGTATCTTTCATTTTAAATTAATTTCAACATAATTAAATTAATATACGTATATTTCCAAAAATAATATCTCGAAATATTTTGGAAGAGTTCTTACAAGTTAAAATGTGTCAACAATTGCTCTGGCATCGCGAATTGAAATTTTTTTTAAGTTAATGCATCACTTAAAAATTATTACACGGCAAGGAAGATTTTGCTGAAGCATCCAAAAATTTAGCTTTGATATAGATTTGAAAATAATTTTATTGAATCATCCAAATAATTATATAGGACGGATTGATTGCAGCTTTTTGCAGCATCCCTACGTAATTATATGATCCACAAGAAAATTGTTTTCAGATTTGTATCTAATTAAATTTTTCAATACTTCAGCAAAATCGTTCTTTCCATGTATCACGTCAAGAATTCATTCACAAAATTATCATCAAAAGTATATCAAATAATATTATAATTTTTTTTCTAAGATAAAACTTCTTGATGTCTTGCAGATTTTATTTTATGTTTTACTTAGGTCGCGTTCGAAAATACTACTTGATTACAATCAACCATTTTATTCTCATTCGGTGAACAAGGATAAAATTCTACTTTAATAAGTAGAATTTTTTGAACGCAACTTTGAAGGATTCCAGCGAGGCACAGCGTGAAAATATCGCGGGGTCGGGGGAGAGAATGTACTTTTTTTCACCCTCGCGTGCGCGAAATCGCCCTGGCATATTTATCCACCTAGATATCGCGGCAGCGGATTTTTTTTTTTAAGTGCAAATGTCACGTCGACGGTCTTGCGTTTTTCATATCTGAAAGGATCGTCCGGACTTGTGCGATCGCGACTCAGTCCAGACTCGCGCGATTCCAAGCTCGTGAACTCGCCTTTGAGCGATTGCACCGAAACGTCAATCTCGTCTGCCAAAAAACAATAACCGTTTTAAAGCGATCTCGACAAGTTTAATTCGCGGTCCCTTTGAGCCGCGCTGGAAAAATAGTTGGATTAACAGTAACTGACAGGAATACAGGAATCCTTGTGAGATGAAGTCATTCGAAAACGTCACAACTCCTTTCCATCGCTTCTAATCTTCATAATTTTGTAGAATAAAAATTAATCTCTTAAGACTGTGGCACGCAAAAAACTTAAGCAGTATAAACTCAAATAAAATACAAATAATAAAACATAATAAGATCGAAATAACATTAAGTAATAATAATTTCGTGTGATTTTGTAACTAAGAAATTACTTGAAAAACATTGTCATGTCAAGAATTCACAAAGTCATCGTCAAAAATGTATCAAATTCGATACTATTTTAATTCTCGTTGTAATTCTTTTTCTATGTCTAGGGAAGAAACGTACAATGACGTACAAGTACTAAATTTTAATAATTATTTGAATAATACTAATATAATTCAACAAACGTTTATTTATGAAAAGAAATATTTGTTGAATGAACAAATATAACAGTTAGATCGACCTAATGGTTCTTGTACCAAATAAATATGTTTACATTTAGTAAATATTTAACCGGCACTTCAAACAAACATTTATTAAAATTAGATATATTCTTTTTGTCAATATAAGCAATAAGAAGATTAACATTTTGGATTCGCTGCTACTTACGTTATTGCCTCATGTGTTTTACCGTGATTGGTCGATTCGCTTACTGCCTACGTTCTTTTAGGATACCATGAGCTTTACGACTTTTATCGATCTATCCGTCTTTTTTAACACTTGGACAAAACTTTCCCCGCATGTTTCCTTCAAAGCGAATTGATTTTCTTTTTCGACATCTTTTATCTTCGCCATTTGTCGCCTGTTTCGTTCGCGTTTGCAATTTTTTTTTGTTCGTTATCTGCCAGCTTCTTCGAACGATCTGTGTGCTAACACAAACAGCTGGACGTAAAAAGCGTTTAGAGCGCCTTGTATGATAATTACGTTCCACGTATAGTCGGTAAAGTTACGTAATCGCCAAATGGAGAAACAGTCGCGCGTTGATACGATCTTAAAGTTAAGTAAAGCAGCAACACATCGAAATAACGAGACGAATTCAAGAGTCGCGCGTCTCATTTATAAATTTAATTCGCGTTTAACTTGCGCGTTGCGAACCGAATCTCTAAATTTTCGCTAAGTTAACGCGACGAATTTACTTGGTGTCTCGAATTACCGTAAGTTAACGTGACGCGAGCGAGACAAATGACACTAATTAGCGCGGATCGTATTAGAAGGAGCATGTGACAAGTATCAAAATCCAGGAGCACTCGGACCAGAAGTGCAAATGTAAAGGCAGACATGGATAGTTCTTTCTCTCTGGAGAGAGAAAGAAAAAATGAGAGAGAGAGAGAGAGAGAGAGAGAGACAAGAGGAAACAAATACTCCCGAGGATTACACAAATTCATATTCACTTTAATTAAATATATCTATGTACATTATAGGTACATCATTAGTACATTTACCATATGATAACTGTACAACGGTAGCACTTTCAATACTGTTCACAAAAATACATCGCATATAAACGAGCAATGAGTTTATACGCAAGGTCGGCTTGCGACAAAAGACAAGAGCGTCAATTAATTAAATATTACCTTTCGCGCTTCGCGTCCGCGACTCGAAGCGTTTTTTTTTTTTTTTTATGTACAAAAGATTCGTGCTCGAGTCGCACGACGGGCCAAAGGAGGAACGTGCTACGAGAAAAAGAGATTTATATATAATTTTTTTTTTTTCATTAACTTCTCTCGCTTAAAAAGAAACATTATCGACGCTGCGCCGTTGGCGAATACGGAGAGGCCCGAGGGGCCACTTCATTTAAGTACCATCAAAGAGACACGAGACTGACAGATTGATATCGATATTTATACAGTTACATCGAGTGTGTACAATAACTGGCATTCGGTTCTAACCCGTCGCGACGAGAGTGCGCTTTAGCCATTTGGGTTCCAAAAATTTACTAAGCACGAGTCGCGTCTCACGAATTTCACGCGCGACACGATTTTTGTATAGCTGCAAGAGGTATGGAAAGATTTCAAAATTGTTGGACCTCGCTGAGGAACTCGCTGAAAGGTCTCGCGAAAGAGTTACAGAATCACATTTCTAAAGCGACCCTCGAACGATCAGTATTAATTACTATAAAATTATTTTATACACAATATTATTGATGCCCCCTTCAAACAATTAAAAACAAACGATCTAGAGGCTTAATGTAGCCTCCGGACAACCAATAAGGTGTCTAAAAATTAATCTAGATATTAAGATTGAGATTGGACTTTCACCAATTAAAGCCAAATTCGCCTAAATTTTTCTTCCTTCTGATTAGTCAAATTCCAGTCCAATTTCAATCTTTTAATCTTTACTCCTTAAATTCCTTGGAGTAGAGTCTCATTCTAAAGGATAAAAGTTGAGCTAGTCTCGAAAAAGAGTGGCCCAATTTTTAACCTTTCAGAATGAAATTTCTCTTTAGAGATTCACTCTAAAAGATTTAGAGAGTAATATCTGATGTAGACACGTTAATATTGTGCAATAATATTGATCGTCTAGGGACTGCTTTAAATATATAAAATAATTTCGTTTTCTATCGAATACTTTCCCGTTGCTGATTATCAAACCCACAGCCGTGCCGACAATCGTGCGTATCGGGTAAAATTCTAAATCCTCTCGAGCTTAGCATACTTTAGAACTTAATCCCGGTGATCGTTGGAGCACACGCTGCGCGCGCTCCTCGTATCTCGTACACGTTATCACATTTCAATTCGACCATCCTCGCATACACAATCCGCACGCGGATTTCAGTTATCGTAGATACGTTGACTATTAACAGGAGTATTTTTCGCAGAAAAAAAAAAAAAAAAAACGCAACTTAAGGAACATTTGGTATCAAGGGCGACAATTCGGTTGGGTCGTCGTCGGTGGTCGGGCGCGGGAGATCGCTTCGCCGTCTAGGAACTGTAGCATTTTATTACAAGTAGTCGTTGAGAAAAACGAGTAGCGAATGGCCACTCTCGATCGTTTACGCTCCTTGATCGCGAGTGTAACCGGATCTCGCGAAAAATCTCTTTGTGCAACGCAGAGCGAGACCGATTCGTCGCGACGATCGCGAATTGTACGCCATGATCGTCGTCGTCGTGACGAATCGGAGAGGCGAGAAAATTATACAGTCTAACGAGTAAGGGAATCCAAGCAGAGGATACAGATAAACACTAAGTTACACCGACGATTGTGCGCCGATTAATTAATTCTATAGCTAAGCAGTGATTATCCCTTTTACAATCGTGCCTGTGGCACAAAGAGGAGGA